TTCCATGGCTAGCATGGAACTAGTACATTCCTCATGTCTACTTTCATGGAACGAGTACATTCCTCATGTCTACTAGCATGGGGCTAGTACACTTCTCATATCTACTTTTTAGCATGGGGCTAGTACATTCCTCATGTCTATAGACATGAGGAATGTACTAGTTCCATGAAAGTAGACCATGGAACTAGTACATTCCTCATCTCATGTCTACTTTGAATGTACTAGTTCCATGAAAGTAGATATGAGGAATGTATTAGTTCCATGAAAGTAGATATGAGGAATGTATTGTCTACTTTCATGGAACTAGTACATTCCTCATATCTACTAGCATGGAACTAGTACATTCCTCATGTCTACTAGCATGGAACTAGTACAATCGTCATGTCTACTAGCATGGGGCTAGTACACTTCTCATATCTACTTTCATGGAACTAGTACATTCCTCATGTCTACTAGCATGGAACTTAATTCCTCATGTCTACTAGCATGGGGTTAGTACACTTCTCATATCTACTTTCATGGACCTAGTACATTCCTCATGTCTACTAGCATGGAACTAGCACATTCCTCATGTCTACTTTCATGGAACTAGTACATTCCTTATATCTACTTTCATGGAACTAGTACATTCCTCATGTCTACTAGCATGGAACTAGTACATTCCTCATGTCTACTTTCATAGAACTAGTACATTCCTCATGTCTACTAGCATGGGGCTAGTACACTTCTCATTTCTACTTTTATGGAACTAGTACATTCCTCATATCTACTAGCATGGGGCTAGTACACTTCTCATATCTACTTTCATGGACCTAGTACATTCCTCATGTTTACTTTCATGGAACTAGTACATTCCTCATGTCTACTAGCATGGGGCTAGTACACTTCTCATCTAGTTCCATGCTAGTAGACATGAGGAATGTACTAGTTCCATGCTAGTAGACATGAGGAATGTATTAGTTCCATGCTAGTAGACATGAGGAATGTACTAGTTCCTTATATCTACTTTCATGGAATGTACTAGTTCCATCTCATGTCTACTACCGAATGTACTAGTTCCATGAAAGTAGATATGAGGAATGTATTAGTTCCATGCTAGTAGACATGAGGAATGTACTAGTTCCATGAAAGTAGATATGAGGAATGTACTAGCCCCATGCTAGTAGACATGAGGAATGTACTAGTTCCATGAAAGTAGACATGAGGAATGTACTAGTTCCATGAAAGTAGATATGAGGAATGTACTAGTTCCATGAAAGTAGATACGAGAAGTGTACAAGCCCCATGGTAGTAGACATGAGGAATGTACTAGTTCCATGAAAGTAGACATGAGGAATGTACTAGTTCCATGCTAGTAGACATGAGAAATGTACTAGTTCCATGAAAGTAGATATGAGGAATGTACTAGTTCCATGAAAGTAGATATGAGGAATGTACTAGCCCCATGCTAGTATACATGAGGAATGTACTAGTTCCATGAAAGTAGACATGAGGAATGTATTAGTTCCATGAAAGTAGATATAAGGAATGTACTAGTTCCATGAAAGTAGATATAAGGAATGTACTAGTTCCGTGAAAGTAGATATAAGGAATGTACTAGTTCCATGAAAGTAGATATGAGAAGTGTACTAGCCCCATGCTAGTAGACATGACGAATGTACTAGTTCCATGAAAGTAGCCATGAGGAATGTACTAGTTCCATGCTAGTAGATATGAGGAATGTACTAGCCCCATGCTAGTAGATATGAGGAATGTACTAGTTCCATGAAAGTAGACATGAGGAACGTACTAGTTCCATGAAAGTAGACATGAGGAATGTACTAGTTCTATGCTAGTAGACATGAGGAATGAACTAGTTCCATGAAAGTAGATATGAGAAGTGTACTAGCCCCATGCTAGTAGACATGAGGAATGTACTAGTTCCATGAAAGTAGACATGAGGAATGTAATAGTTCCATGAAATCTACTTTCATGGAACTAGTACATTTCTCATGTCTACTAGCATGGGGCTAGTACATTCCTCATGTCTACTAGCATGGGGCTAGTACATTCCTCATATCTACTATTTCATTCCTCATGGTTCCATGCTAGTAGACTCATGGAATGTACTAGTTCCATCTAAGTACATTCCTCATATCTACTTTCTTCCATGAAAGTAGACATGAGGAATGTACTAGTTCCATGCTAGTAGACATAAGGAATGTACTAGTTCCATGAAAGTAGACATGAGAAATGTACTAGTTCCATGAAAGTAGATACGAGAAGTGTACTAGCCCCATGGTAGTAGACAAGAGGAATGTACTAGTTCCATGAAAGTAGATATGAGAAGTGTACTAGCCCCATGCTAGTAGACATGAGGAATGCACTAGTTACATGAAAGTAGACATGAGGAATGTACTAGTTCCATGCTAGTAGACATGAGAAAGGTACTAGTTCCATGAAAGTAGATATGGGGAATGTACTAGTTCCATGAAAGTAGATATGAGGAATGTACTAGCCCCATGCTAGTAGACATGAGGAATGTACTAGTTCCATGAAAGTAGACTTGAGGAATGTACTAGTTCCATGCTAGTAGACATGAGGAATGTACTAGTTCCATGAAAGTAGATATGAGGAATGTACTAGCCCAATGGTAGTAGACATGAGGAATGTACTAGTTCCATGAACGTAGACATGAGGTATGTACTAGTTCCATGCTAGTAGACATGAGGAATGTACTAGTTCCATGAAAGTAGATATAAGGAGTGTACTAGTTCCATGAAAGTAGATATAAGGAGTGTACTAGTTCCATGCTAGTAGACATGAGGAATGTACTAGCCCCATGAAAGTAGATATGAGAAGTGTACTATCCATATAAAAGTAAATATGTCAAATCTACTAGCCACTTGAAAGTACATATGGGAAATGTATTAGACTCATGAAAGTAAATATGAGAAGTGCAATAGTCTCATGCTAATAGCTGTGAGAAGGTGTTTCTTTTACAACAAAGTCACTATGAGCTATCTGCTGTGTTCACTGTTGGGAATCAAATTTCATATTTTAACATTTTAAGTCCATACCCTTACTGCTGACCCACCAGGAGATAATTTGAGAAGTGTAATAGCCCATTTTTTTTCTCACTGTAACAACTAAGTTATTACACATTGTAAATATACACATATCTGCAGTAACTTTTTCCACAGTATTATGAAACTAAAAACAATATGATTTACTACACCATACTTGGCACAGGTGTAAAAGCTGGGAGCAGGTTAAACAGTCTGCATATGTGACAGACTAGTATTTCTGACGTATTGAAAATATAATAGTTTAATTAGAATATATATAGAAATGTAAAATCTCTGGACAGGTTATCCTGTCTACATATGCGACAAAAAAACAATCGGAGAACATTCTGATATTTGGAATACTCCCATTTTCATTCAAACCTATGAGAATGGCTACATGTTCTGAGTGAGTGATTCAAGTTATTTCACTCAAACACTGCTGTTTTCATCTCATATCAATAAAACTTTGCATTAAAAATAGCTATCTTAATTCCAGCTTAAAGTAATAATGAACATTAGAAACTGTTATAAATACATAACTAAATAATAAGGCATTTAAATTTAGCACTTGGTAATGGAGTCATGCATATGTGTTAGTATGCTAGAACATTTCAGTGATGGTAGGTATTTAATGATCTAAAAGAAAAAACTGTAGCAATTTTGTAAATTTTAATAATATACAATTGGATGTATACATATGCACACACATTCATGCAAGAAGAACCCATGTGTGATTGGAAAAAAAATAAAACAATTATTAAAATGTTTTTCATTTCCTTTTTTTTTATTAATTATATTTTCTTTCAAATAATTCAATGGCCCAGTGTGTTTGCCTTATCTTTAATTGTGTATTTCCCCTTAGGTGTACAGATACGTTTTATATGAACCTGAAGTGAATAAATGCAAGTCCAAATGGATAAAAATCCTGAACTACCACTAACCCCTCTTCCTCCAACTTTACCTTCTTCATTTACACAGTTACCTGCAGTTGTTCCAGAGATACATCTCAGTAATGTTATATCAGCAGAGAAGGAAGTATCTCAAACTTGTAGTCAGATGTGGAGCTATATTACAGAAAGTTCTGAGCAATGTAAGCTTGTTTCATTCTACCAGCAAGTCTACCCAGTTTTGCAGCAAGGACCAATGTAAGAGTTGAATTTACAAGCAGGCATTAAATAATAAAACGTTTATTAGAGACTTTGAAATTTCATCTACATTCTTGTATTTCTGTGTATGTCAAAGTGTTAATAGTGATTATAACATGAATAATTTATTAACTTTTTGATCAACAGAGTGTACTTCTTTGAAGAAATTGACTTTTGTAATATCCATCAGTTCATTTAGTAAAATATATGTATTTTGGTAATTCAAGAAATAACTTCAAAACAAGTCTATACTTAGGTTACTAAGGATTATAAAATTTCATGAAATGCTCTATGCTTTAATTCCTATTGCCCTTTCTAAAAGAGGATACTAAGATACTGAGCTATAGGATACTTTGTGTTAGAATTATTATAGTACAGTTTTTATTTTCATTAAAGCTTTACCCATTCTTTTTTAAAAAAAAGCATATCAAAGTGAATATCATACTCTAAACTAAACCAAGTAGGTCTTCTTTTACTAACAAATCCAAAATGATATATTTACTCCTGAAGTAATAATTTATATAATCTTTTATCACTTATTTATTCATTTCAATATAGTTAAATGTTTTTCATCATTACAGTACCTCAAATTCATTACTTCTTAATTTTGTGGTATTGGAAAATATATTTCAGACTGTTAAGTTTACTCACTCAGTTTATTTATGTCTTATAAATTTTGAAATGTTATTCAAACTTTTTTTGCATTATCAGTAAAGGAATAACATTTTTATATGTCAAATCTGTTATCAAAATCATTAAATATATATATATATATATACACTGAGTGGTCACAAGTAAATAGAC